GGGTGTAAGTATCAATGTTTGCATTTCCATTGTTTCCCTAAAATAGATGGAAAGCGAATTGCATTAACAGTATCTCTCCAGAGAAAATCTGAGCCATTGAGGTCTCTTGTACAGAATAACGTCCCAGAGCTAACTTTATTAAGTGCTGCTGGGATTGGTCAGTGTTAATACCATGGCATAGTACCAGCATTCTAACTTTAAGATTCTGTATTGTAAAAAGCATTTAACCCCCAAAAAATAGAAATGGAGGAAGCTAGTCGGATTTCCCTCATTGCTCCCTTGTTATTGTGACTAACTGAATCTTCCTTCCTCTGGCACTGCCCTCCTGCTGGTTCATATTCTTAAATAGCTTTGGTAATTCTGGTTACCACATTCATACCTTGAGCTTCCTCCAAGGACAGCAGGGTGGCTTAAACGGTTTTCCCCCTCTCCCATTTTATCCTGGCAACAACCCTGCGAGGTAGGTCGAGAGAGAGCAAGTAATTGGCCTGAGGTCACCCAGTGAGCTATAGGGATGACTGAGGTAGGTCTCCTCGCTCCTGTCCAACACTCAAACCAGTGTATAAGCTGGCTTTCTAAATGGAAAGCAAAACCAGTATTTATGAGAGTTTCAGCCTCTGAGCCCATTGCATCTGTTCAAGAGTCAAGGCAGACTAGTTGCTCCGGAGTAACTTGTTTTTAAATTGGAGATGTTTGTTTTGGGAGGGTTCCTTTAGCTATGGTGCTTACATGACTCATGTGCCATTACAGGAGCATTGGCTCTTAGTCCATCATCATGATAGTGCACTGGGAAAACATAATATCCCTGCCACCAAATTACCCCCCTTCAAGAACGTGCCTTGCAAACCAAACTTGTATCAGCCTGCCTGTGCGTGAGTGCCAAGTTTTGTAAAAAGTCTTTATGCGGTTGCCTTAGAAAGATTCTTCCTTCCTGGAGGTGACCCAGCGAATGACTGTTTTTTGGACTGATTTCACTAAAAGCGAAAGTCCTGCATTTTGGTGAAACTTCTCAAGACCTCAGCAGCCAATCAAGACCTTCCTCAGAACATCCAGGGGAAACTGAATTAATCTGTTTTGCAAGTCATGCCCACCAGCTTTCTTGAGAGGGTTTGCCCTCGTTGCAGTATTCTTACAATTACACAGAAATCAAAGGAAGAGACCTCAGGGTCACCCAGTGCCAAATGGCTGCGACTACCAAGAATCCTGGCCTTCAGAGCCTTGCGTGGCCTGGGACCGACATACCTAAGGAACCGCCTCTCCCCATATGTGGCCTGGAGAGCCTGCCTGCCTCGGAGTCACTGGGGAGGTGTCGCTCTTCAGGCCTTCCCTCTGTAGTGACGCACACAGAGGTTTTGGCTTTAGTGGCCGTGGCCAACTCTGAAGCCAGCCGGAACTCTGTTCCTGTGCGTTCCTGCCCAAAAATAGCCCTGCGTTAAGCCTTGACCAGGGCTTTTTCTGCCCTGGCCCCAGCCTGGTGGAACATGCTTCCGCGTGACATAAGGGCCCTGTGGGATCTTTTACTATTCCACAGGATGTTCCTCTGCCTAGCAACCCCAGTCTTCCTTGGTGGTCTCCCATCCAAGTACTAACTGTGGTCAACCCTGCTTAACTTTCAAGTTCTGATGATGAGCTCAGGCTAAGCTGGCTAGTCTATGGTTTTGATAGGTGCTGGAGTGACAGTTGGATGGGTACCTTCAGTTCCTGACACCCAGACTCAATATTCATAGGGCCATGGGACGCCAGGACCAGTCATGTAGAGTTTTCCTTCTTCTTTCCCCCCCAATAGCTGAAGCATGTCTGCGTTACGTGGAGCGGTCCATGCCCGATGGATCGTA